AGAAAAAGGGGGACACCTTTAAAGAATATACTGGCCACCTTTACTTACAAAGAATCTTCCTGGCTTTGAGTATATTGAGAAAATAAGGTAGTATCTTGCGACGTGTCCAAATTGTTGTACATAGCAGGAATACCAACCCTGAAACAAAATGCTAAGTCAGACTTATTTTTATCTCCTTATTTCAAGACCACTATTTTCACTTGCATTCAATCTTTTCAAATTTCAAACATGCTTTTGGGGAAGAAAAAAGCTGTGATGGGGATCCCACTAGGCAATGAATTCATCAACACATACCAGCTCCGTAATCTAACCGAGTTCTTGTCAAACACCGCTGTACGCAAATCTTGCTTAGATTGTTTTTGTCAACAGCTCTGGTAGCTGCCCAGGTATTTAATTTTCCAGTATTTAATTTTCTCACATAAAGAGAGAAGATAATTCTAAAGATTCCCTTAGGAATATCCTAATTTCTGATATGCTGCTGACAGAAGACTTCTCTTTCAAATTTGGAAGTCTTCCTTCAGATCAGGTAAAAAAAACCCAACCCTTTCATTTCAATGAGTTAAGAAAAATGGCATCTTCTGTTTCACATTGCAAGTGAGAGTCATGAAATAAAAATGTTAACTCCAAATTACCAAACTCCAAATAGATAACAGAGAGTATATTTAATCGAAATAGGAAACACGGATCGGAGAATCATTTGGTTGCCTTAAAAGAGTAAAGTAAGGAACTTTGTTAGCTTTAAACTTTGTGACTTGTATAGAAGAGTAAGACTTAACTCCCTATAGCAGTCGGAGACACAGGAACTGACATGTCCATCTGACATACTCGATGTAATGACATTTCATATTAGGTTTAACACAGAATTAATTACAGACCTCTTTGACCTAAGCACTTCTTTTTGATGTTCCGTCAATATTCTTGCTTTCGTTTCTGGAGGAATAAACACAAAATCAACAGATTTCTCCTCTTCCAACAGTATCTCACTTTTAGTCTTGGAAGATGAAAATTCTAGTTTCAACTACAGAAAGGAGAAAAAAAAAAAACCTGGATTAGAAACAAAATAGAGGAATTCAAAGTGTTTTCATAACTGTTTTTAGCCATCCTAAATGGAACAGTTCTCAAATAACCTCCATTCTTTCAGCACAGTAATCAGCTCAAATCCCTCAGCAGGTGCTGAGTTTCTTCACGAGGGATTTCCCACTGCCCCCTCCGCAACACTACACCTTGGAGGGACTCTGCCACCCCTCCTCCGTGCCCTCAAGTAAGCTCCTGCACTTCTTTTAGCACCATGAGGTCCAAAGTCTGCAGCAGGTGATGGTACCTCAATACTCAACAAGGATTATTACTTATTGTTTACTCAATCAGTGACTCCTTAGGAATAGAGCACCCTTTTCTCCCCAGGGCAAGCAACAGATTGGAGCACACGGCACAGGTCCACCAAAACCAAGGGCTGCCTCAGCACCTCAAATCTGTCACAACCTGCAACCAGACTCAGGTGTGAATTTTGTACCTGGTTGCCACTCCTCCCACCCATCAGGCAGCCTTCCATCACCCCTCCTTAAAAGTCAGCAATCTGTAAACTCAGAGAATTTTAACAGGAGAATTTAATTAAAGTGTGCTACGGAGCGTACATTTGAAAGAAAAATATTTCAGCATTGCAAAATTCATTAGTTTTTGCTGAGATTTCACAGCAGCATGCTAGCTGCTCTGCTGCAGCAGGTAACGGATCCGGTTCTGTCACACCCACCTGTGAACACCTTACCTTGGCAGATGTTACTTGCACATGGCTGGACTTGTCTTTGACTTCGTTTTTCAGTTCACTCGTCTGTGCCAACAGAGAGTCTCGTTTTTGACCCAAATTTACTTCCATTCCACTTATCTTTGCATCCAGCTGTGAATTCTCCATCTATTCCATAAAAACACACAGACCGCGTTGTACGAAGAACCTCCAAGCTCACAAATCCATCCTGGAATGTATTCATTTCTACAACTAAACTGACCCACACTCCCATTTTCCTCTAGATTATGCAGAGAACAACTTAAAAAAATTAGTTATTTCAAACAAGCTAGTAGAACCCAAAATTTAAAACGCATGAACTGTTAAGAAACAGCTCGGTCTTTCAACAGTGCTTATTACCCAGCACAGTTTATCACTCCAAACGTGCAGCAAGTGCAGGCCAAGCACAGTGAAAGTCAAAATTGACCTTGCACTACCTTCGGAACAGCTCCTGTGAAGTTACACACCCACTGGGGCCAACAAAACATTTACCGCATCGGAGAACGGGCCGCTGCATTCCTCAGCTATCTCGATGCTTTCGAACCCGGGCAGCAAGAGTGGCATTTTCTTTTTGGCTTGGCTTAACACAGATCTGCTCAGCAAAAGACAAGGAGAATTTTAAACTTACTGGGACGTGGGGACGCAACAAGACCAACAGATATCCCAGCTTGCACAAAAAGCAGGACATAAATGGTAACCAGAGCAATACTGTACTGGTTTTGACTAGGATTTAGTTTTTCTTCTCGGCAGCTAGAGGAGCTCTGTGTTTTGGGTTTAGTCTGGGATTTGTTATGAGAAGAATGTTGACAGCGCACCGATATCTATAGTTGGTGCTGAGACATCAAGGACCTTTCAGATTCCCGTGTTCTGTCAGTGCGCAGGAGCACAACAGGCTGGGAGAGCACGGCCAGGACAAAGGGCCCGCAACTCCTAGTTCAGGATTTGAGCTTAAATTTAGGATTGAGGCTCAAGAGTATTCCATGTAGTGCAGTGTCATGCCCAGCATATAGATGAAGGCTGACCAGTAAGCTTGGGAACTCCTGTTCTTCTGAGGGCTCTCTCAGAGTTTTTATTTTCTCTCTTTTCGGGCCTCTCACTCGGCTGGGACTGTAGTGTCAGGACTTACCTGTTTCAGGATCTTTTGTCGGGACAGGACGAGACACGTGTTGATCACCAGGTGATGAGCAATTACACTGTGTGCCACTTGTTTGCATATATTGTTATAGAATCGTCTGGTTGGAAGAGACCCTCAAGATCGTCGAGTCCAACCGTTGCCCCTGCACTGTCAGGGTCCCTAAACCATGTTCCTCAACACCAAATCTACATGGTTTTTAAACACCTCCAGGGATGGGGACTCCACCACCTCCCTGGGCAGCCTGTTCCAATACTTTACAGCCCTCTCTGTAAAGAAATTTTTCCTGATATCCAACCTAAATTTCCCCTGGTGTCACTTGAGGTCATTCCCTCTCGTCCTGTCATTCGTAACATTATCTATTATTATTTTATCATTATTACTTTTAACCTTATATTATTGTTAAATTGTTCTCTCAACCCACAAGTCTCCTCCTTTCTTCTCTCTCCCCCGTTCCCCGGGGATGGGGAAGGGTGAGCCAGTGGCTGTGCGCCATTTGGCTGCCGGGCTAAACCACGACAAATGCCAACTCATTTGTACATAACCCGAGATCTCTACCTTTAAAAACACAGAAATGTAAGAAAATCTGTGTCTTACTTTAACTCTTGGGGGTATGTCAATAACGTGGTCTTTGCAAACGTTGCGTTCCAGAAGTGGGCGCCCTGGGTGCGGATCTGTTTGCTCTTATGCTGGAACACAACACAGAGCATGGGAGAAAGCTGCTCCAGCAAGTCGCTGTCGTAAGAGCCGGTGCAGTGGGACTGTAAGCACAGCATCATCTCGGCCAGCAGTTTTTCAAGCTGAGGGAGGGAAGGAGTGGTAGGTTGGTAGGTTTTCTATTGAATTCAAATGTTGCACACATTCACTATTTGAAAGTTTAAATTATTATCCCGTAGAATAGCACAGCCTGAATAAACGAGTTTAAATGCCTCACCACGCAAAAAGTCTAATAGCTAAGCTGAGTGGTCCTCCCCTTAGCTACCTTTTTAGTAGAAATATATAGTTCAAAAATTAAATCTCTATCTTTATTACAATTATTTTTATTTTGTTTTAGAATACAGGATGAAAAGCAAAACTCTACAGTGTCACATTTTCCCAAACCCCAGCTATTTCTATAGCGAATTTACCTTGTTGTTAAGATTACTGTATACTTTAGATACATCATCAAGCCTGCCAAAAACAAACAAAAAAGTTACATTTTGCCGCCTCACTTAGCTCAAACATAAGAATCAAACACATAAACGCACTCAAGCACTGCACACTAGTTTTAGTAGACAACTTAATGAAATAATGTTGTGAAACTGGCCTCCCATTGCACAACTAAAAAAAATTCCTCGATGTGAACTGTTCCAAGTACGCCTATCCTTTAACCCCCACGGCTACGCTAACTTTAAGAGAAGCTAATGGAAAGATCAGTAGTAATTAGCACAAACAAAGGTTTTCTTATGAAATAACTCGTCACTTTCTTCCTTCTGTTGCTCTTAACCCTCTCCCCAAACAGATTTCCCAGGCCCCATAAATATTTACACAAAAAGCTAAAGTATCACCTAAACTAAGTAATTCCATGTAAATAAATCCTTAGGTACACCATCCCGAAAAGTGAGAGACATCTGCATTTAGTAATTCATTTTATCAGCCTGCGACCTTTCTTGGATATGTGTTCCTTTAAAAATACACACCCAACACTCGCTTCTCCCTTTTAACGACTAATTACAAAAGAATTCTCAAACAAAGGCAGATGAGATGGGAGATGGAGAGAGGTGGCGTTCAACTCAACCTCACACAGGAACAAGTGGATTCTTGCCTCCAAGTCAGGGACTCCTGACAACTTTTAGATTAGTGGCAGCAGTCCTGCTTCAAGTTGCAGGAAAAGCTTCAGGAGAACATTTACAGGCTGACTGGCAGCATCCTGTCCTAGCCTCCCTCCTCCCAAAACACTCAAGGCTGTACTCCATTTCTTTTCCTAATCATGAGCAAAGTGTACATCTCTTGCATCAAGGAACTGGAGACGAGACACTGCCAGCCCCCTCCCACCAAGCCCCTAATAATCCCATCACGTCCTGGGAAGAGAATCCTACAACGGTTAAAAAATAAAACAGCAAAGCCACATGCAAAAAATAAAGTGCAGAGCAACAAAGAAGTATTTCTCAGTAATTCCCTCTACTTAGAGGGTTTCACTGCACTTATTATGATTTCTCTTTTTCCTACAAAATTTACGCAGTTCCTGCCCACTGGAAAACAAATTACTGGCAGTATCTTCACTGGATTGAAAATAAATGGCAGATGGAAGTCAAACACTTTACCCTCGCAGAGACGACGACACAGTCACTCTAAAGAGATGAAGATTTTAAAGACCAGGCTTTCAGAAGTCCTACACTTCCCTCGCGTGTGTGACTGCACCGGTTTGGTTCTACTTCTGAAGAAAAGCATTACAGAACTAGTACCTGCTCGCTAGGCTGAATCTAGCAAAAGGCAGGGCACTCTCGAAGGTGAGGAGCTGAAAATTCTCAACACATTAGTGCAAAAGCTCTCAAAATCCCTGAGCTATATGGAAATCCACCACTTGCCACAGACCACACACAGTTTCACCAATACAACGAATCCAGTTTTCCAACCGTTCTTAAAATACTCACTTTGCTTTTTCATAAAACACTGCCAGGGGTTTTGAAAAAATTGCAAACATAGTCCCAATCACGGAAGGCAATGAAACGTGGCTGATGATGTTGTGAAGAACAGCAATAATTGAAGGACCAACAGAGACCAATGTTTCTGAACAGATTTCTTTGGAACTGAACACATGGAAAGAGTTTAGTAACATCACCAGGAGTTTAAACAGAGAGGCAAGCTTTCCAAGGGGTTCCTTTTTCTTCTTAGACCAATCTGTAGGCGTCTGTGGAGCTAACAGTAAAAAAAAAAAAAAATTTTTTTTTTTTTCCCTTATCTAACCAACATGTGTTAAAACAAAACACATCTGAACTTTTTGTCTGCATGGGAGACAGGACTTTGATTCCCAAACCACAGCTACACACAAATAGTTTAAAACCTGATCTAACAGAAGACATGCATTTTTTTAATGTATAATTTTATCATACTACTACAGATATTATTCCCATTCCTCTTATTTATATTTTTGGTTGGTCACACAAATGACTATGCTTAAGTATCTTTAACACCTACTTGCAAAAAGCCAGCAACCACTCTAGAGACACTAGCTGACATGTATAAATTCAGGAACAGGTGCGGAGCAAGGAAGGGGAAGTATCAAGTTTTATGAGTTTATTTATTTATAAAGTGAAGCTTCCATCATGTTTTCCCTCATCAACACTTGCCATTAAAGCATTTCATTCTTTCAGCAGCCCAACATGATGACTTACTACTTTAATGAATTAATATGGGGCAGAAGAATGATAAATACTTCAAGTTTTATATTGAATTAAGTTGGTTTGTACATTATTTCTTCAGCTTTAGTAGTTGCAAATGGGAGTAGGAAACAGAACAAAGAACGTGTTACATACTGAGAAGTTTACTAACTGAAGAGTAAAGTGGCCTCAATGTTTACATCAATTTCAGATCTATTTTGTCAGGTTATGCAGTAATACTCAACTGTTCAGCAAACAGAAAAGATCTGATACTCAAATATGCATACTGGATGGTTTTTAGTCCCATTTTCTCTTTTTTTTGTCAATCCCTCCAGTGTTTAGGTAATATGCACAGCATACACAGACCACTGATATCCTAGTCATCACTTCTGCACGTACAACAACTTTAATTTTCAACTGACTCTGGAAGAAAGGCACAGAAAACCCCAATATTCAAGTATTTTCTTACATCTGTGTTTTGGCTGATATTTAGTACCATATGGTGCAAAGTTGATGCAGTCAACCATAACTGATATAATGTGGGTGAGACCATCCATCATTGAGAACACCTGAGGAGGAAACAGAAGTCATCAGCAAAGCCCAAAAGAGCAACAGCGACAGACAAAAACACGTTGACCATTCAGGACAGCAACACCAACAGCTTTTAAATTTAAAAGTGGAAGAGATTTGTCCGCATTATCAAGTAAGATTAAATTTTAAAATAGATTTACACAAGCTGAAGATGAAGTCTTCCCAGTTTATACAAGTAAGGCAAAAACATATACACAATCTAAAGAAGCAAACTGTAACAGGCAGCTGTAAGAAGGTGGTAGATTGAAGAAGATGCATCAAAAGTATCTAGCTGTCTAACAACACACGTTACCAAATGTCGGTGTGTGCTTACGTTCAGTTACTGGACAAAGCTGGACTTTGAGAAAAGTCACTGGAGGTGTAATAATATGTTTGCCATTATCATTCAGGAAGCACAATGGATTTCTAGTACATACAGAGATGGGTCAAGCTTTTTTTTTCCCAATCCATCACAAATTCTTCTAAATAAAAAAAAAACCCTTTGCTTTTAAACAGAACATTGCTATTGTGGGCTAAAAAACACAGTTTAGTTTCAATATAACTTCCATACTGAAGTTTAAGTTAAATTGTTTAAGTTTGGTTTGCTTAATAATTATTAATTTCTGAAAACTGAAGTTTATCATCAGGATACAGCAGCATCCAAATGAAGTTATAATGATGTAATCCTCCAAATTCAATGTTTTCAAAGTCCATCTTTCTTTCTCATTTGTTTATTTGTTCTTTTCACAGTATTTTTTCAAAAGACAGTCAACTTCAAAGCACAAAGGACTTTATATTCCCAAGCTGATGGTCACTGACACCTACAGACACTCGATCCCCCCATATGATGTGGGCTTGCAAACAGGCAAGACAGATAATGTAAAGGTTTTCTTTCAAAAGCTCTCTCTTCTGTAAAGCTTTAGAAGCAAATTCTTTATATTTTAGTGTGCAGGGTTGGCAGCACCAGGAATACAGCAAGTGATGATCTCTGACTGCTACAGCACTACTCTACCCTCCTTTCTGCTCAAAACACCTGTTTCTGTGGCATTTGTTAATTCAACCCAAAGTTACTTTATATATACACCCATTTCAACTGGACACATCACATTAACCATGATGATGACATTCACTAAACCAGTACTACTTAAATAGTTAGAAGACAAATCCAAAGATTGCTTAACTGCTATTTTAATATTTAAGCTTTATAGGTGGTTTTTTTTTATTATCTTCTTTCAATCCATTTTTAGATCAACTCCAACTCCTGTTAGTAAAGAGAATTTTGTTACAGCTTCATCTAAGTCTCACTCAAAACACTTTAAGTTACAGCAAGTACTACATTAGAGTTTACAATAGGTTCTTATATCTAATTTAAAAATATATCTGCTAAAGTACTTATATAGTTCAATATCACTGGTTTATACTCACTACTGGAGTTTCACCTTCTAGCCCAGATATTATTTTGGCACAAAGTTCTTCACAGCATACGTTTTCTTCTGCTGTTGCAACTAAAGCAGCACAGCGAGCAAATGCTCTATACAGGTCTGACCAAGTGCGCAACAAGGATTTCATAGTTGGCTTTAACAACAGAAAGAAAAAGTTTATAAATATCAATGTCTGTGCACAGAGATACAAATTTGCTTTAAGTTTTCTTCTTCTGTCAAAACCTATTTAACTCAAGAACTCCAACCCTGGAGCAGCGGTCCAACGTGTACACATATTGGTAACAATCTACTCTGAGATTACCAGACAGCACGTCACATTTTTTATAAAACCCACATTTTTTCTAATCAACATTATGCAGCCACTGTTACCTGTGGAAAGTCCTGAACGGGGAAGATATGCGATACTGGTAGCAGCAATGCACTGTAAACAGCGTTGAAGTTGTGCTCCAGTGCATCACCCTGATTGACTTCGTTAGTCTGCAACGAGAAAACAAGGTGCTCGTTAAGGAAGCCGCCAATTTGAGACGACAAACAAGGCTGTTCCAAAGACATTTATTTTGTGCACAAAATCCATGCAAGCTACATTGCCAGTGGCACTGTGAAGTTAGCTATTCTCAGTGCTTCCAAGAGTTCAAGCCGACCCTACTATTTAGAGATAACAGTACTGTTTCTTCATTCCAAAATAACGTAATTCCAGGAATAAAAACAATCACTTAGAAAACATCTCATGTATTTTTCACTTGATTCAGTTGCAATAAGTGATGACAGCAAACTACTTAAAAGCATCTGAAACTTTCTTCATAAATTCTAAGATTTTTAGGTCTACTGACTACCTGAGGATTAGTTCAACAACTCCAACGTTACAGCCCACGTACTTGCACTAAGTGATCTGCAGAACTTGTTCCATATTACAGTTTCTGTGGTTTTCATCAGGACTTCCGATCAAGAAGTCCAACATCAGTAAGAACCATTGTTCTAAACATCACAACTTGGTATTTATTATATTTCCACACAAAACAAACAGGCCTCAGTATTTTAAAGTTAAAGGTCCTGGAGGGCACGTTTCCACCCTTTGTAGCAGCAACACTATGCCGAGGAGTGAAGGCTTGAAGCACATCTATAAACATGTTAATAATGTTAAAAAAAGGAGGAAAACATTCCCAAAACTCTGCTGGACCCTGTATTTAACAGTGATCATTCTTAGTGACTACAACCACTTTACACCACACTTTGGATCGCGGCTCCACTGCTGCCCTTCGTCCTCACTGCAATGTTCATATTCCAGTGAGGGACATGAAAGGAAAAGCCACACACGCAAACGCTACCAGGGCTTATTTAATTTTCCTATTGCTTCAAGACATGCAATTCCTGAAAATACATTAGGACAAAAGATCAGCACAGTTTTCCTATGTCTTTTCTTGGGGGGCGGGGACGAGGAAGAGAATAAAAAGCCACTATACCCGATTAATCCATTCCGTTAGTGGATTAACAACAATACTCCACATTCTCCAAAGATGCTCCTTATTTTCCACTTGTTTTGCACTCTGATTGATAATGCAGATCACAGATTCACTGAAAGCCAGCGGAGATGTAGGCCCAGACAAAACATAACCCACGAGCGTTTCTAGAATTACAAAGAATCTAGGGAAGAAAGTTCAATAGGTAAGATACTTTTTTCAGCTGAAGTTAGGAAAAGCTTCTATAAAGTCTTGAACTATGGAAGGCTCGTTATAAACAAACGCCACCACATACCTCTCATCTGTTACACAGCATTCCAAGAGGTTATTATGGAAAGGCAGCTGAATTAAGAACAAAGCTGGTGTTCCCTTGTAAGAGAAATGTAAGAGGTCAAAATAACATAAGCATTGGTCAAATGAAATGGTTGCCTCACTTAAATATAGAATACACATACAGTAAGCCAGAAATTTGTAATTATTAAAAGATAGCAAAAATTGTTAACTCTACCACTTCAAAATAAAAACCAGACACGAAGCTGGAAACCCAAGCTTCTGCTAGATCCTGGTGCTTCAGCTGAATCACAGAATGTCAGGGATTGGAAGGGACCTCAAAGGATCATCTAGTCCAATCCCCCTGCCGGAGCAGGACCACCTAGATCAGATCACACAAGAACACGTCCAGGCGGGTTTGGAACATCTCCAGAGAAGGAGACTCCGCAATCTCTCTCGGCAGTCTGTTCCAGTGTTCTGTTACCCTTACTGGGAAGAAGTTCTTCCTCATGTTTAAGTGGAACCTCCTATGTTCCAGCTTATATTCATTTCCCCTTGTCCTATCATTGGATGCCACTGAGAAGAGCCTGGCTGCATTCTTGTGACAGTCACCCTTCACATATTTATAGACATTAATGAGGTCCCCCCTCAGTCTCCTCTCCTCCAAGCTAGAGAGACCCAGCTCCCTCAGCCTTTCCTCATAAGGGAGATGCTCCACTCCCTTAATCATCTTTGTGGCCCTGCACTGGACTCTCTCAAGCAGTTCCTTGTCCTTGAACTGAGGGGCCCAGAACTGGACACAATATTCCAGATGTGGCCTCACCAGGGCAGAGTAGAGGCGGAGGAGAACCTCTCTCGACCTACTAACCGCACCCCTTCTAATACACCCCAGGATGCCATTGGCCTTCTTGGCCACAAGGCCACATTGCTGGCTCATGGTCATCCTGCTGTTCACCGGAACCCCCAGGTCCCTTTCCTCTGTGCTGTTCCCCAACAGTTCAGTCCCCAACTTGTACTGGTACATGGGGTTGTTCTTACCCAGATGCAAGACTCTACACTTGCCCTTGTTGTATTTCATTAAATTTCTCCCTGCCCAACTCTCCAGCAAAAAACTTTTCTGTTTAAAAGGCTGCCGAGTTTTACAGCACTTAGTCATTACTGCCTCGAAGTTACAACAAGGTAGGTGTACATATGCAATCCATGCATACGATGATCCCTGGAACAAGACAGAGCAACCCGGGATTTGCTTATTTCAAGGTTTCAGCAAGACACATTTTGGACAACCTCTGTTAAAATCTATCTTAAGTATTTCGGGTTTGCTAATGTTAACGCATCTAACAAAACGCATTTAGTATCTGTCAGTTAAAACTTCAGCCACCCTAATAAAGTTCTGACTCTTGTACCTAAGTCAGAAAAAGCCTCCAAATGTAAATTAGAACACTTGGGGGGAAAAAGCTGGGAGGAATTTTGAGAATTGAGCTCTTAAGCCAGTCTGGAACACAAAGTTTTATACTGCTCACTTGAGTCGAAGCATTCGCTCACGCTGTTACACTTAGGTTTTCTCTTGCAGCTATTTGTCTGCTTTTAAAAAAGCCTCCAAATTATTTCTATGCACTCCCTGGCTAATAACATAAACATGTAGCTGCTTCCATAGGCTAGAAAGCTCTGTCTCCACTGCTGCAAAATAAACAAGTTGCCCCCTACCTACTGGTGCACGCAGAAGAGCTAATCATCCTCCAATTTTAAAAGTCTCCAAGCGACTTTTTAAGCTTTTAATAACTCTAACTGGTAGCACACTCCTACTCGGTCTGCTCTCTCCAAACAAAAACCACACACAAAAAATAAAAAATAATCAGTGTCGTTTCAGCGTTTTCTCACAGGTTTATTTTCATGGTTATTTTCTAGACTGCCATCATTTATGTCTCCCTTCCAATGCAGTACACAGAACACAGCACAGCACTCCAGTGAGGGCTTGTAAGGACCAAAGTAGGACAGAGTAGTTCCCACTACTAATGAACATTCACTGGTTTTGCTGCAGTAGACTGTGGCAAATAAGTTCAGGCTTCAGTTCACTACCACTTCTGAACTTTTTCTGAAATAATGTTGTCTAGCATGATGTTCTCTGCTTTGCTTCTGTGCATTTAATTTTTCTTGAGGAGTACTGCTTTCTACCTTTCTTTAAAGTAGAAACTTTCTACCTAGAAAGTTTCTTTCTACCTTTCTTTTCTCTATTGACTTCGGAACATTTCCCCAAAACTTTTTTTTTTTTTCAGTATGTAAGTAGTACGAGTTTCACTTATGCAGTCTCCTTGCGAAGTATTTTGCAAGCCTGTATTTTAAATCATGACCTGGATGCAAGAAATTCCCTTTCATTATTACAGTACTTTCAGCATATCCGTTTTTAGCTCCAGACAGTTCAATTACTCACCAGAAGTGAGGGCTGGAAACAAAGTCTGCATTCTGGAGCATGGAATAATGTGGTTTTCTGAAAAATCTGGATCTCACAGCTATGTCACATAGTGTTTGTGCAAATATGACATCCTAATACAGTTCAGCATAAAGACAGGTTATGGAATGAAGTCAGACTTACATTTAAAAGATCCATGTCAGCAACCTGGTAAGCTGGTGATCCCAATACTTTCGGAGGCAATTCCTTAACGGTAATATCAATGAGGGACTAAGTAGGGGAAAAAGAGGAAAGCACATTGAAGTATTTTTTTCCTGAGGGTGCTAATATTTTAAATATCACCACAAACAAAAGCAAAGTTGAAACAACAGTTTCCCTTTATTAAAAGGAAAAAAAACCAACATTGTGAAAGTAACTGTCCCTTGAAGCAGAAGGTTCTGGTAGGAGAACCATACACCCAATACTGTGAACATTGCTGATAATTCTGAAAAACATTTTTAAAGAAAGAAACTCTTAAGCAACACTATGCCACCTGACAAGAATTGCATAACTTACAGTTTACACAAAAAAAGTTGTCTCTCAAAGAGACCATTCTGATACGTTAGATGCAAAACGTTGCCACCAACCAGCATCTAGACCATCAAAACTAAATGATAGTTAAAAAACAGACAAAACCACCCAACTTACCAATATTTTCTGCACAGGAAGAGAATTTGATCTGACAATGTTTTTTAAGGCCTGGAGCAACATAGTCAGTATTTCTGACCCTTGCTTTTCTTTCTTATTTCCTACAATAAAACATATTTACGGTTAGCGCAGAAAAAGTAATGGTCACTCTGACAATCCTTTAAAACTTAAAATACATTGCAGTGTAAGATCAAAAAAATTCTGTGTATAAATATATACCAAAAACTTAATAGATTCAGGTGCCAAGTCTCTGTTCCGAAGAACAGCGTAACTGAAACTGAAAACCTTAAATAAAAACCCCCTAAGTTTTATTAGTAAAACAAACACCTTCATATCATTAACCACCTTAACTTGGACATGCTCAGAAATTTTGCATTTATCCAAGCACTGCACTTCATTTCTGGTACGCCTTTCAGTTACACCTTTCAATGCAACAGACTTCGTTAGCAAGAACGTTCTGGGCTTTCAAAGCCCTTACAGAGTAAGGAACACTTTTTTTTTTAATTGGAAACAACTTAATTCTATACATCTGTGAAGAAACTATACTATGAAATAAAATTTAATTAAAGAAAAAAATGGTAGTGACAGCCACGTAACAAACACTTTATTCCAGTTTGAGTAATACACTGAATATCTCCACTTCTCAATCCCAAAGATTTGGGGGAGGATTTTTATTTTTTGTTTTAACAGAAAGATTTCTTCAGCAAGAAAAGCAGTCAGTGCTTTTGTGTCTTACTGCTGCATGCAATACCCCTGCAGTCTTGCATTACTGTGCCTTCCCTCATAACCCCACTGGATCAGATCTGTATCGTATGATTTTGTATTTGTCACACAAAGATGTAGGCATCATGAAAAACAGCAGTTGTTGCTTCAAAAAGAACCACCGATGATGACTAAAAACAAGTTTTACCAGCAATGAAGCAAATACTACTTCAGGTCCAGTCTTAAAAAAGACTCTAACTGGTCAGCAATGACACAAAAAAAAGCAAAACACTTTTTACCTGATTCAATAGCTGTTTTTACATATCCATTTATGTCCTTCCATATAACATTCAGCATACAATCTACAAGATAACATAATTTTATTCAGTTTGTAATAAACACATTAAACAAAACTGCAGTTAAAATACCAACTATGTTAAACAACAGACTTTGATGTACGCCAAAACTGATGTAAGCATTCAAAATAAGTCAGACCAGTTCTATTTAATGTCAGCACTGGACCATTACAGAAAGTGGTTGATTTTCTTCAGTATCCCCCCTCCACTTTATTTTCCAGAAAAGAGATCAAATTTCACCACTAAATTCTTACCAGAAACTTCTTTTCCAACTGCAATAAAGCCATCCTGAACTGCGTTTATAAGCGTGCTGGCATGCTTACAAAAAAAAGAAGGGCCACTGATCAGGGGGTACTGGAGAGGCTCTGGGAGAAAAAAAAAAATGTAAAAAAAAAAATGTAAATCTGTTATTTTGCAGTCTACTGGCAAGATAAGCCTTCAAAACAATCAAGTATATATGTGCACTCACAGCTTTTAACATAAAAACACCTTCTAATATAAAAGATGACAACTAAGTTTTAAATGTTTAAAGCGCTTCATTCTAATAGACATCTTTAAATCCAACAAAACTGACAATTTCAGATTACGCAAAATTACTTCGAAAAAATGTAACTCATGTACCTAAACTGAGTACGAGTTTGTTTTGCTTAGCAAAACCTAAAACTTCTGGTCCCATCAAGAAGTGAAGCAGCATTTCAATTCCCAAAAGCTGAATGGAAGGAATCACTACCACTCCTGCCGTACTGGAATTCAAGTTCATCCTTGGTGTGACTGGACTTGCAAACGGGTAAGGACCTAAGCAAGGGGAGAAAGATTATATTGTCTCATTTCAGGAAAAGATCCAACAGACCAAAATCCCAAAGTTTTTTTCAAAAAGGGAACAAAGGAAGATCTACACATCTAGGACACTTCCACAATGTACCTGATGCTTCTAATTACAGCAGTCTGGAATTACACAAGCTGTGAGTGCTAGGCTTTCCGTGCAGAGGAGAAAAAGAGGCAGTTCCTTATCTCAGGCATTTAGATGTAAAGCCCAAGTAGGTGTGATCAAGCTCAAGTAGGTGTGATCTCACATGTAAAGTACCAAAATTGCTGATGTATTACGATCACTGGGTTCTATTCAGGCAGAAACTAAAAATGCTATAGAAATGACAATGGCATAAATAGCACACCTATGAATACAAGAAAAAAAAGTTTCAAACCAAAGCTCCCCTGCAAGACAGAACACAACTTGGGACATGAAAACTGGTCCTCAACACCATTTGATTAGCACAATTTTGTGAACTTGAAATACTGCCTACAGCAGCCTAATTTTAACCAATGTAGAATCACAGAATCACAGGATGGTTTGGGTTGGAAGGGACCTCAAAGACCATCCAGTTCCAACCCCCCTGCCATGGGCAGGGACACCCTCCACTACACCAGGTTGCCCAAAGCCCCATCCAACCTGGCCTTGAACACTTCCAGGGATGGGGCAGCCACAGCTTCTCTGGGCAACCTGTGCCAGTGCCTCACCACCCTCTGAGTGAAAAATTTCTTCCTTATATCCAATCTAAATCTCCCCTCTTTCAGTTAAATGTAAATCACCACCTCTGAGCTCTGCAATCAACACGCAGAAAAATGACTGTTCTCAATAATAACGTATCACAAACGACCAAGCGTAAACATGTTTAACAGAACAGATTAATTACGTTCTGCATCCAGAACACAGCTGGAAGCAGGCGTGAGGTTTAATACCTGATTTCTGTGCAGGGGTTGCCGTGACTAAACTCTGGTTGGCTGGTACACGTGAGGGAGTTCCTTGCAATGCAGCAGAAGAATCCAGACTTAAAGTACTTTGGATCAATGGTACACAAACCTGCAAAGATGCCCAGCCTCAGTGAAAACAGGTGTGACACATACAAGCCAGAAGCCACAAAGAACCATACGTTTCAAGTATCACATAGACCCTGCTGTTGTTCACAGCATCGGTGTTTCAGAGTTCTGGGTACTTAAAACAGTATTTTTAAAATACTGTATATAATATGCATTTATCAGTGTTTCAGAGTTCTGGGTACTTAAAACGGTATTTTTAAAATACTGTATATAATATGCATTCTGATACATGAACTTAGAAATGACTAGATGAAACAAAAACTCATGTTTGATCCAACTATATCACAACTAAAAAGGTAGGTTTCTTTTTCTTTACTCCTGAAGTTTAATTTAATGAAATTCAGTATCCTAACAGAAACATTACATTCATTCCAGTTATAATACGCGTAGTAATGAAACACCTGGATCATTTTTCTCTCTACACATCTTTCTGAACATTTTGTGATGTTTTCAGTATGTTCTCCTATGGCAGACTTCCCAAAGCACAGTGAAAGGACACAGCAGTCCTTATACAACATGCTTATGTTTAGTACTGTTGTGTGCTCACTGGACATTTTAACTGAGATGCTCACATGACACGCAGACACACTCTCAAATCTTTTGGAACTTTAAAAAGATTGGATGTACAGTCCCAAGAGCTCCTGCTAGCTATGGCACACACACACGCACAAGTCAGATTAGTTTATTGTTAAAATAAAACTGTCTAAAGGAACCAAGAGAAGGACAAAGCACGTACAGCATAAGTTTCAGTAACAAAGAGGAGACTTGGCTTAAGTGATTATTATCCTAGGACTATTCTCAGTTGCGTTACCTGTTCAAAGTTTGCAGGCAGCTGAGGTCCCAGCCTCATGAGTAAATACCACCAGACCTCCAGTTTCGTCAGTGCCAAAGCCTCTGTTCTCACGTGGATCGAGCTCAGCGGCTGCATGAGCAATTTCAGCCTTTTAGCACTGCACAATATATCTTGAAGACCAAAAAAAAGCATATTTTTAGGAAACACAATTAAATAATTAATCCATAGAAAAAAAAACAAAAACCAAAAATTTTTAAACCACTAGTTTTTTCCCCAATATATTTTGGCTTTAAATTCAAATAATGACAATTTGCAAAACTAAAATACATAGTAAATGCTCCAATGCTCCAACTAAAACACGTAGTAAATGCTTTCAGACTGTTTTACTACTCTAACTGCTGTCTAGAACAACCTTGGAAACAGCAAGTATGTATTTCTCATACCAAGACTGAAATGCAATCTACTGAATACCAACACAAAGAGAAGGAAACTCACTCTTGCTTGCTGCTAGTCTCCTATCTGCCCCAGCAAAAGAAAAACCAAACACTTTAACGCGTATGTGCATTAACAGATGGATGAGAATGAACAGTCTCAAATACAGCCTCTTGAGGCTGCAAATGATCATTCACCACTGAAGTAAATGATCACAGCGTGTCTGGACAGAAGGTTGCTCAAGCCTACGCACGTGCTCAGAGAAAAAAGTTTTGCCAGCTCAGCAGTACCAGAACCTGCCCACCTGCAATTCCTGAGCAGCTGCTGACAGACTGCTTTTTCCATACACAATCCTTACTAGCCATACTGGAACACACGCACCCAATGTCAGCTGCACCAGGGATTTTATCTTCTGATAGAACCAAATCCTTTGTTAATTCATTTATGGGAAAGGATGATCGGAACAAATGACCAGATAGGAAACAAATTAAAATGATCATTTCTGTTAAATTCAGTGAAACTAAGTGTCCACATTCAGCTTTCTCTTCAGGACACGTAGTAAGGAGAAGCACAATCAAGGTAAAAAATACCGTGTGTTTTGACACAGTCTAGACTTGAAGATTTGTTCAGGTCCCAGTTATACCTTTAAAGCAACTTTAAAAAAAAAACAACCCACTCTAGAATCCTGAAGCATTGCTCTTCTCCAGTTAAACCACTAGTCTCTTTCATTGGCATTCAGATCAATTAAAGCCTTACAAAACAAAGGTTTGTTAATTTTATTCTATCCACCTCTCCAAGCAGAAAAAACTGAGATAGAACTACTGATCAAACTGTCACTTTTCCTTAAAAAAAAAACCACAACACTTGAATTTTACTTTGCATATACACACAGTATATGCCACTACAAATACAGAAACACCACTATGTATATACCACAGACTTACTACGTGTCCATCACGTGGTATGTACCATAGTACTGACCACTATTAGACAGAATATTCTCTTCCAGTCAAGTAAAGTGACAGTAGTCAAAACAATTCAGGTTAACTTTTTTTAATCTACCTGGATTTAGAGCAAAATTATCTATTAGACTCTTCCATGCAATGAAGGCTATTTTCTTTACCACTGGTGAGCCACTACGAAATCCAAGTTCCTCCAGTTGCAGCAATGAGTTGATAAAACTGCCACTACGATGCAGAGTCTGAAGACAGAGAAGTTTAAAATTAAAATATTTATGCTGCCAAAACCTCCAGATTCATGACTGTAGAGTTTGCTGCTTTTCTGCTTACCTTTCCAAGTAATTTGACAAACAGCGGCCATAATTTTAACACGTAAGTCTCGTTTTTTGTAGAAAACAATTTCTGAAGTTCTGAAATTAATTTCTGTAGACAGAAAGAAACAAAATTTCTACAAGAAATATATTAGAATCATAGAATGGTTTGGGTTGGAAGAGACCTCAAAGATCATCTAGTTCCAACCCCCCTGCCATGGGCAGGGACACCCTCCACTACACCAGGTTGCACAAAGCCTCATCCAGCCTGGCCTTGAACACTTCCAGGGATGGGGCAGCCACAACTTCTCTGGACAACCTGGTCCAGTGCCTCACCACCCTCGGAGTGAAGAATTTCTTCCTTATCTCTAATCCAAATCTCCCCTCTTTCAGTTTAAAGCCATTGCCCCATGTCCTATCACTACACACTCTTGGAAAAAGTCCCTCTCCAGCTTTCCTGTAGACCCCCTTTTAAGGACTATTCCAAATATTCTAAAAACTACATACTCGTACCAATGTCTGGAGACACAACCGACCCGGCATGACGCTGTTTCTAGACCAGAAGGATTAAATTCCGTACCAGTGTTTGCTGGTAAATCAGCAGAACATTGCTACCATCTGATTACCTTCTCAGTTGAAGTTTATGGTTGGTTTCAATTATTCTGATGGTGGCAGCCAACAAATCAAAATCCATTTCCTCAAATACTTGTAGTCTCTAACTCTCAAGTCAAAACAAACCGTGTCTCTAAAAACCACCTTGTCTGTTTGGGGTTTTCTGTAAACATCCTTAACTTCAGCAGTGAATAAGGCAAAAGCTGTAAGCCTACAGCTCTGGAAGTGAAGGTGAACAGGAAAAGCTTCACCAAAAAGGCCAAGGAAAACATGGGGCTGTTCCTGAATAGGGTGGGGAAACTTTTAATGGACATGGAAAACGCTGAGGTACTTGGTGCTTTCTTGCCTTCGCCTTTACTCTCAGGCCTCCAACACCTGTCTACCACTACCCTTTGTTGCTGGGCACATAGGTGCTACCCACGGTAGAGCAGAATTGAGTTGGGGACTACTTAAGTAAACTTGACATACACAAATATATGGAACCCTACAGGGTGTATCCAAAGATGCTGAAGGAGAAGGCCAACAACACAATGAGGCCACACTGCTATTTCTTGAGAGGTCACTGCAACTGGTAGAGATGCCCAAAGACGGCGTAGGGCAAGACAAATTTTATGTCAATTTAGAAAACAAAACAAGCCAACCTCACCAAAAAACACACCATCAAAAAAACAACCACCAAGTAGAATATCTGGAGAATTGCAAGCTAGCCAATCTCCCTCCTGGTGCCTGGAAAATTATGGAGGAAATCCCCATGGAAGCCATTTCTAGGCATACAGAAGAACAAGAAGGTCCTTATGAACAGCCAGCGTAGTTTTACCATGGGTAAAACCTGCTTTTCCAATCCGACTTCTATGTGGAAATGTCTGGTTTTGCAGACTCAGGGAGTGTGGCAGATGTTCTCCACTCCAACTTTAGCAAGGCTTTGACACAGTCTCCTCTTGTGTCCTTGTGGCCCAGGGAAGACACAAACCAGTTAGACTACAAGGTGTTGGTATGCTGGAGGACAGGGCTACCACTCACAGGGATCTTTACAAGCTTGGAAAATGGACTGACAGAACCCTCACAGAATTCCTATACCTGGGATAGGCGAACCCCGTGTACTGGTAGCCACTGAGGACTCACAAGCTACGTAACACCTCTACAGAGAAAGAGGTGAGGGACAAGAATGTTAATGTTAATTGAGGAATGTGCTCCAGCACGCTGGACCGCACTAGCAAAAGCACAAGAAACAAGTCTAGAGAACTGACCCCTCTCCTTGGTACTCATCGGATCATCTCTGGAATACTGTACCAGATTTTGGGCACCAAAGTACCAGAGCTCCTGGAAAAGCAGAGTGAATCCAGCAGACGGCCACCACTAAGATGGTTAGGGGACAGCGTCCACGGCAGAAGAGCTAGGCTTGCTTAGCTTGGGGCAGCAGGGAATACAATTGCAGTCGTCCACTACTTATAGCTGGACTATAAAGAAGCAGCCAGATGCTTCAGAGAAGCACCGAAAGAAAGGACTGGGGGCAGAGGCACAAGTTTCAACAAGGCCAGTCCTATTTTTACCATGAGGGCAGTCAAGCACGGGCACAAGCTGCCAAGACAGGCTGTAGAATTCCCATCCTTTCACATATTCACACCTCAAATGGCCAAGGCCCTGAGCAATCTGGCCTTAACTCTGAAGCCAGCCCTATTTCCAGTAGGAATGTAAGCTAGATGATGGGAGTTATTGCCACACCAAGTTCTGCTGATTCCAGCTCAGTAAGCAAATTCCCTTCAAGAGACGATAAAAGTTTATTGATATTTATGAGTTAATGCTATCGAGACAGGTGCTTAAAAGTCATTTGAAACCAGCAAGTTATTTTCTTGATCAATGATTCTTGTCAGAAAAACTTTTTACAATGGTCCTATATTTACATTGCTGTTATATTAATTTTTCTGTCGAAACTTCTGTCATCAAGAAGTTGTCAGTGCACTGCAGCTTTCTGCTGCCACTATCTAGACTGTAAACAAAATTTAAAAAACCCCAACCAACCAACAACCCCGTTGGGACTGCTATTTCTGGTGTCTGCAGAAAAAAGGCACAGCGTTTGCACTTACTGTGGTCATCAGGTGCTCAGTGACAGCCGCCACCTCCTGCTGTTTCTGGAGGAGCAGCGGCATGCCCATCTCCAGAGCAGTGGCACCTCGTAACTGCACCTTGTGAGCCGAATGGACCACCAGAGGAATGATCAGTTTTGCCCACCTCACAGCCTCCTCTCCCATCTGTGCTGGAGTTTGCTCCATTAAGCTAGATGCAAAAAAACAAATACGGATATCACAAATCTCCAACAGATGTACTGTGCAGACACTCAAAGATAATCTTAGTATCATCAATAAATGCTTTAATTCAACATAGAATTTACAGAAGACCATTCTAAACATTTTTATTTTTTAATTTTTCTAAACAATTGTTATTTTGACAGTTCACTCAATGCAGTATTATTTCAGATAAACCTCTCCAAAAGCAGAACAGACTGATGTTTACAGTTGTCCTTTCCATTCTATCACAACTTTTTGGGCAAACGAGCTGAACTGAGAGCCTGAAAGCAACACACCATCACCTCCTTATCAGTGACCAAGCACAAAGTTGCACATTAACCACCCCTTGTGTGTTCTCAGCAGTCCAGACCAGCTCCAACAGGCCATGCGTGCTGAAAGCAATCCGTGCCAGCTTTTGAAAACAACCCAAACCCTGAAGCAGCACAGGTTTGCACACTCAGTGCACAACAGCCTACTCCCTACTCGAGTGTTCTTATCTTACCCCTCTGTTACCGAGCCCTTAGAGCACACCATGGCAAACAATTCCCTACGTTTACACCATCCCACACAGCAGCCAAGGAGGCTTTCAGAAAGGGGAGTACTTGGCACCTATTCAAACCGCCCTGTAGGAACCAGGTTGTCTCTAAGTCATGGAATTCTGCCAGTGTCCTCTTTGGCACAGTTACGTCAAGTCTTCATCACTACAGCTTACGGAAGGCTGGCTGTACTAAGGAACACTGCTGCCTCATTTTACTAAAGCCAGAGGACAAGCACTACTTAACAGAACGTTTTTTTCCTTACATCTGTCAGCAGCCTAACTTCTGGAAAAAAGCATCGTCTTACCACTGCTGCCCATCAGCCTGAGACCCAGTACCTGTTTATTTTCAGGTACAACTCTTATTCTCTTAAGATAACAACATTCTTTTTAATAACGGCATATAAAATTATTATATATATAAAAAAGTACTTAAAAGAAACCATTTAATAAAATCCAGAAACAATTGTCTGCTGAAATGTCAGATTTGCAAAAGAAGAATTAGTGTACAATTAGCCAAATACAAGAAGTTGCTAAATACCAAAGAAATTATAATATCCAACTTCTCCACTACAGAAACTGATGTATTAAAATAGAGAAAAAGTGAGCAAACAATTACTGCTTTAACTATTTCACTTTAAAATGGATTTGCAGTTCAAACAAGACGCAAAAAGTTCTCAACATATTTACTAATAAAGGAATTAAATTCATACTAAGCAAAGATAAAATTTGATTACTCTAGTGCTGCTGACCAAAACAACACACTCTCAGTGTTGGTCCTAAAAAGTCACCTTTTTAGGAATTAAAAACTTAATTCCTTTTTAGGAATTAAACTGTACCCTCAACAGTGTTATGAGAAACACAGAAATAAAATTCATAAAGCACCAAGGAAACATTTTTAAATATCAACCCATATAATGGCTGAGAATTTCTCAGCCACGTAGGTCCCAAAAACAAGAATGCAGAACATGACTCGTGAGGAGCACACGAGATGAGACTTTGGAAATAATTCCTAATAAGTCATTAAAAATGAAAGCAATGTTGGCTACCTTCTGTGTCAGAATTGGTTGTCATATTATCATTAATGGAAGATTTTGCAAATGAAGCAGTTCGGGAGAACAACTGGGAAAGAGACAGAAACAGACACATGCTTTCACTGTTCTACTGACTGTAATATAAAACACTGAGAAAACAGTCTGCAACATATTGATCGATTCAAAAAGTATTCAAAAAAAGCTTTGTTTCAATATTTTCAAAAAAAAATGAAGCATCTATTGTAACGATTTAATATTGCAGGGCACGTACCGTATAATAACGTTTAGTGCTTCATATTCAACCACCATAGACTGGATATCTCCTCTAGTCAGTATCATTTCCAGGGCAGAAATAATGCTGGACACCTGTGGAAATAAGAGAAGAACATTAGTGAACTCCTAAATATCTCCATGAGGAGCTGGAATTACGAAATTTTGTTTCCCAGAACCGTGGCCTGTTTGGATTATGTTCAGCCCAGTTTATGGTTAGAGCTCTGACCAAACTGGAGCGTTCACCACGTTTCTCCCCTACGCTGCTTCACTGGTATCTAATACCATTGCTCACATGACAGCTTCTCCCTCAAAAGAAGTAATAATTTGTTGGCTCTTTTCCCTCTGTAGCTGCCCTTACGATTTTTCCAAGAACTCAGGCCCTACACCTGGCTGTCAAGTTTGGTGAAAAACGACCTTCAGATTCAAAAGCTACTGAGTGAAGAGTGACCACTCTTGTGATTGCACAAGCCTCACCTCTCCAGGAAATCAGGCCACCAAACAAAAAGAAGTGAAGAAACTTACCTCCTTTTTAACCATTTCAGAAGGAAAGGCTTGCTTGGAGATCACCCAGAGCGCCCGAGTGCGAGTGTTTTTGTCTGAGGTTTTGACAGCAACACTGCTTACCATCGACAGCAAGTCGTGTACCTCGGCGGCTGAAAGCAGAACGCGCAGCATCAGGTTCTGCTCGTGCAATTTCAAGCAGCTTCTGAGCAAGTTTCAGGTCATCTTGCTCCGTTAACATTACTAAAGATCCCCAATGGGCATGATTTCATGTCTTAAACATTACTCTTTGACACTTTCTCTCTGATTAAACTAGCAAAAAAAGCTCAAAATGTATTAATATACAGATACCAATAATGCAGCGTACCTATATTACAAGAAGAAAAACAAAACAAAACATAAAACTAGAAGACAATTTTACCTAAAAATACAAGAGCTAAAGACTAAATATTCGATTGGAGAGGGACTTTTTGCAAGGGCACGTAGTGACAGGACAAAGGGGAATGGATTTAAACTCCAAGAGGGAAGATTTCGATGAGATCTAAGGAAGAAATTCTTCACTCTGGGAGCAGTGAGGCACTGGCACAGGTTGCCCAGAGAAGTTGTGGCTGCCCCATTCCTGGCAGTGTTCAAGGCCAGGTTGGATGGGGCTTTGGGCAACCTGGTGTGGTGGAGGGTTTCCCTGTCCACGACAGGGGGGTTGGAACTAGATGATCTTTAAGGTCCCTTCCAACCCAAACTGTTCTGTGATTCTAACTATTCAACATTTTTTGGATTTCCAGTGAATTTAGCACACTTTGTCTGGTCAATTTCCCTGCTATACTGAGACACTGAAATTCACCTTAAGGTCCACAAGAGGCATTATTATTGAAGAGGGTGGTAAAGCTGGCACTGAGGTAACAGCAAGCTCGTTACACAAAACAGAACGAGGTTAACACAGGACTTACAGGCAAATAGGAAGATAAACGGAGAAATCATGTATTCCTTTGGAATTCAAAACTAATGCAGCCTGATTTCTTACAAATCTGGGCTTCATGGGTAAATGATCTCGCTGTCAGAAAGCTCACATCCACTCCTCTCCTCAATCAAGAGTACATAAGCTTTTTGAGCTCTCTCCCTAACTCTCCACTGTTTTCAGGGCTTTATTTCTGCAATCTGACATTCTCTAACAAAATTGATTGTAAATTATCAACTGGTTAAAAAAAAAGTTACGGTGGAAAGCAAGGGGACCACATAAGCATTATAGATGCCTCCTCTCACAGGAAATCAGGCTAAAGTTTGAGTAACAGAATGCAGGACACACTGGAAAACGAGCAGAAAAACTGAGGGAAAGAATCAATTTCAATTAACAGTGGCAGTCACATGGAAAAAAAGCTCTCTGCACACCCACACATGTGATTTTGTTCAGTCTTGCCCAAGGTTCAGCCCCTCTCTAATTAAGGTCATTCCAGAACACTTGTCCAACACTTCTCAGAAGAAAAAAAGAAGGAATAACTGACAGTGCGTCATTTGTTATTATCATTTTACGAGTCACTGCAGGGTCCCGCACCATGCAAGAGCCAAATCTCAATACATTTCCTCTGTGCTCCCTGAAAGGCAAATTTAGCTTCTCCCCTTCCACCACCACACAACCCAACACACACACAGAGAGCTGACACTGAGCAGCTTCTGATCATGTTACTGCAACCGGATATGCCTGACCCTTGGAATGTGTAACAGGTACCTCCCGAGGACCAGCCAACTTGGATGTCAGCTCTCCCCTAAGAACAAAATCTAGTGGCTTTACCTTGATGCACAGCATCACAACAGCATGAAAACAAAAATTACAATTTTTTTTGTACTAGATTGAATCAGTGAACTGATCACACTGCTTACACTAGAGACAAAACCACTGTACCACTTGGGAACTGTAAACTTTCTCAAAATTAAAGTATATGCTAAAAGAAATAAAGAGCTCTGATATACACACACACGTTACTAGCACCCACGCTGAAGTTTGTTTGCTTACCAGATAATTCAGATGTAATCTTTGAATTAAAAACACAGAATCCTAACGCCTGTAACGCTGCATTATTTAGCTCTGAGTTTTGACTAGAAACGTGTGCCTGAAAAAAAAAACATACATAAAGCCTCAGTTTACAGAAGTAGCTGTGAAGTATGTCTTCAAACCAACACTTCTGCTCAATGAAGAGCTGTCAAAAGCAAACACTTGATGAAAAATGCACTCATACAGAAAAGCCTTCCAGATTACATATGCTCCAAATCAATAAAACAATCTGAGGTTCTGAAGACATTTTTATTCTCTGCAATTTAGACATCATTATGGAAGCAAGTTCTAAACATCCAGCGTTCTTTACTTCACTTGTTATGTATCATCACTTGACTCTCCAATTGTTTTTAAATATCTAAAACAGATGGGAAAAAAAAAAGATGGCTAAGAACAGTCTTTCCACTAATCTTCAAAAAAATTTGACATTTACAGCATATTCCAATTCCTTGAAGTGTTTCTAAAGGCAGACAGAACACACTGTATCTTTTCCGGCTGGAAGATCAGCTCTGACTGCATAACACTGCCTGAACACACCCCCAGCCACGTATTTTATTTTTTCTGTAGTAATTTCCAATAACACGGAGATATAATTTTTGCCAACAAACCCTTACTGCCATGTCACTAGCGTGAATTCTTATTAAATGAACTCGAATTCAAGTCTTAAAATGGCTGCGGACCTTGACCATCTAAACATTCCTTTGTCCACTGAAGTGTAGAAAATAGAATGGAAAAGACAAACCTTAAACACTTTGCAAAGTCGAGGGAAGTGTCTTCTGACATCTGCAGCAAATTCTTTGCCCTCCTCACCCGTCAAGCGACTTTAGGGAGCAGAAGGGAAAACAAGCAATAGTTACAGATTAAACATTTTATAAATAACTTTATGCTTTTAATAAACAATTCATTGTCTAGTATAGAACCCTGTACCTCCTTAGAAAGCTAAAACACAACACTGCAGAAGTTTAGGAAAAGAGCAAAAACGCCAGTCACCACACAGTTAGTCTGGCATCAGTAAAATACTGTGTTATAAAGTACACACGTCCTGGTATATTATAAAAAGTGAAGTGACTAACGACCCATTTTGTGTTTATGGAGCATAAAAAAAACCCCAAACATTAAGGGCTTCCACTTTTTGCCAACTTTTACAAACACATTACTGTGCAAACTTTAAGCTACTGCTGAAATAAACTTTCCACAGAAATGTACGAGCTTAGAAAGCACATTTCTCAAAAGCAGTTCTAAAACGTTGGCTCCCCACTCCAGGAAAACTCTGGCTTGACAACTAGCAGCGATGACTCGCTCCTATCTCAAGAACATTCATACAGAAAAGCTACACTTATCCTACAAAACATCAACAATCAGTTTCAAATAGTGAAAAACCACCACATGAAATGCAATCATAGAATCACAGAACGGTTTGGGTTGGAAGGGACCTCAAAGACCATCCAGTTCCAACCCCCTGCCACGGGCAGGGACACCCTCCACTACACCAGGTTGCTCAAAGCCCCATCCAACCTGGCCTTGAACACTTCCAGGGATGGGGCAGCTACAACTTCTCTGGACAACCTGTTCCAGTGCCTCACCGCTCTCAGAGTGAAAAATTTCTTCCTTATACCCAATCTAAATCTCCCCTCTTTCAGTTTAAAGCCATTGTCCCTTGTCCTGTCACTACACACCCTTGGAGAAAGTCCAGAAGACGACCTGAGAAATCTGTTGTTACTTCATACTGTCTTCAAGTTAGGATGGGGTTTTTGTCAGTTACTACTGGAAGCCTGTAAAACCTTACAGTGTGATCAGTATCACCAATATCTCAGCAGTAACAGCTTCAAAAGCTGCTACAAAACTGAAGACAGGAACTCCAGGGAAATACTGACAGAAAGATAAAGCCTTTGTACGTGCTTACAAATCCGACAGACAGGTCAAAGCAGAACCTCATGCTTAAGAAATGGAATTAGGAGGAGCCAGCGATCATTCCCAATCCCGACAAACACCCTAACCTTTCCCATCATACAGTCCTCTTTTAGCAGGGAAAAAGTTACTACTTCCCAGCATTCCTTCACCACTTCCGCAGCTTCCCCAGGAAACGCAGGAGAGGCTCTCGGATGAGCGGACACCCACAAGACGCCCTCCTGCCCTCCCTCCCTACCCCGCTCCGCGACCGCACGCTTCCCGCGATCTCCAG